TTTCAGGAGATAGTCCAGCACTTTGACTGACTAAAAAGTCCTTTTGATCAGTGCTTTGATCAAATTTAGACTCATCTAAATCAGCAGGATGTACAGTACCAATAGGACATGGGTTGGATTCGAGGTTAGTTCGACTCGGTGAACATCAATGTGGCTATGATGAATAGCTATTTTTCTATCTTCAACCAATCACCTCCTCCAGACTAGGACCCCTCAGATTTATAGATGTACTTCTTGTATGCTATCTTTGTCAATCCTTTGAGATGTGAAGTGATGTTTTTTATGTTGTGTTTGTGTTTTCTGTACTTATTATTATGTATCTTATTTTTTGAGTGTTATGTATTGATATAAGTTTTGCATCATTATATCACTTTTTAAAATTTTGATATCAATAAAAAATGTATTATTTTTATTTAGTTGATTTTATTCTCTATTTGAAATGTTAATTTGCATATATGATAATTCTGATTAAATTGATCTAAAAAAAGTGTTATAATATGAAGAGCAATACAAAAATTAACTTTATTAGGAAATCTAATCTTTCAAAAATACAAGTTAATTTATAACTTGATTAAGTGAACGCTATCAATCTCATATTCTTTTTAGGCATACATAATCTTAATATTACTATTATAATTTTGATGTCTTATTATTTTTTATTTCTTTTTTAAATATAATTATTTTTGTACTTAGAGAAGTTTGAGTTTTTATATTATTAATTTTAGAAAGATTAATTAAAAAGAATTGGAGAAATGTACAAGTGTATAAAAATTGAAAGAATGTGCAATAATTCGCAAATTAAAAAGAGGCACAAAATTAGCTCAAATACAAAAAGTTTTACAAAGTGTGCCACAAAATTTGAAAGATGCGCAATATTGCCAAACAAGTTCTTTCCTCTATCTTTCAATCTTCAATTTCAAATCAATCTAATGTTCAATTATATTTTATATTGAAATTTGACTTTAATTAATCTTTATTTCATCACTATTGTAAAAATTTTTCTTATCTAATATTCTAATTTGTTTCATGACCTTGATATATTTATCTTGTCTATGTTATATTTTAATTTAAAAGTTATAAATTTTTATTTTTCTCAAATGAACATTAATCTTATTATTGCATTTATAATTCAATCTCTTTCAAGATCAATTATCAAAGATTTCTCATATGACTTCTTATATTTTTGTTTTTCTTCTTCCTTCTTTTGTTGTTGTCAAAAAGGGGAAGAAATATTATTTGTTTGTTTGCTTTTGATTTTTTTTTATTTTTTCGTTTTAAGTGTTCGTTAGAGTTGTTTTATTTTTTTTTTTTTTTTTTTTTATTTTTTTGTTTTAAGTGTTCGTTAGAGTTGCTTTATTTTTTTTTTTTTTTTTTGTCTATTTTAAGTTTGAAGTGTTTTGTGAATTTTTGAAGTGTTTTGTGAGTTTATGAAAAATTTTAAAAAAAAAAGATTCATTTGTTCTTAATAGAAGTTCTCTTATATTCACAAGCTTATTCATTTAGGGGGAGTTAAGGAGAAATTTAGGATTTTTAGTTTTATTCAAACAATAATTGTTTTGTCATCATCAAAAAGAGGGAGATTGTTGAGATAGTTGCGACTTAGTTTTGCACGTTTAATATTCTTGCAACTTGTATGTTTTTTATGATTCCAAATATTATTGATGGTTTGATTATTATTTCTCCTAACATATTTTGAAAGAATTATTTTGCTCTTGTGTGTACTAATATTTTAGGAAAAAATCATACTCCGGATTGTTGAAGACTTCAAATCAAGATCAGTTTAGAGTTTATTGTAATTGAAGTCTATATTTTCTATTTTATTGAGTCCGAGAGGGTGTGATTGTAATTGAGTAACAGAGCACACAAACACCGGGGGAGAGTTTAAAATTCATATTTTTAAATTGATCGTACTATACGATATTACTTCGTATGGAATAATATGGTTAGTTATTTTTTCCCGACGAGCAGTTGAACGAATATAAATGAAAATATTTTTTCTAAGTATGGATCGTACGGGATGATCCCAATTTTTGTACAGGGATGAATGCCTCGGGTCTGTTCTCACACTAATATCATACGGGAAGATCCCAAGTTTGTACAAGGATGAACGCCTAGGGTTTGTTCTCACACGAAGATCGTACGGGACGATTCCAGGTTCGTATAAGGACGAATGCCTCGAGTATGTTCTCGAAACGAAATTTTTTTTCTAAATATGGATCATACGGGATGATCCCCGTTTCGTACAAGGACGAACATCTCGCTCATTTTATTCTTATGTTTCATACAGATGAAATTTGAAATTTTCTAACTATTCGTCTCGGACAAACTTCGTTTGTACCGAACGATGATCGCATACAAAATAATTTTGTATCGATTCACAATAGGTTCGTACGCAACAATATTTAAACTATTTGTACGTATGAATATACCATCTAATTATACGATCATGCATGCTCTAAATAAAAAAAAAATTAATTTTCTGGATGGTTTTTCGTGTCTTTTGTATAAAAGGTCCATTAAAGACTGACGTTAAAAATCTTTTATCTTTGTCAACATGATTTTTGAAGGGCAATTGAAGGAGAGAGTATGAAAGAGTATTTGAGAGAGATATTTTGCAAGTGGAGTGTGAAGGGTTCACAAGGTTACTCAAAGGTAAGGATCTCTTTATAATTGTGGTTATCACTCTTCCTCTTGTCTTTCTAGATTGTTCGTGAGAAGATCTACGGATAAGATTCGGTTCTCTACCGATACTTAGAGAGTGTGAACAGCCGACAGTTCTCTGCCGACACTTGAAGGGTGTGAAAGGACGAAGGCACTCTGCCTACACTTGGAGGGTGTTAAAGGACGAAGGTACTTTGCCTATACTTGGAGGGTGTGAAAGGACGAAGGTACTCTGCCTACACTTGGAGGGTGTGAACGGACGATGGTTCTCTGCCACACCGGGGATTGGTGGAAGAGAGTTTTGTAAAGGCTTCTCCGCCTTGCTGTGGGGGCAAAAGGAGAGTCATTTTGGGTAACAGTGCAATACCTGAAAAGAGAGTCTTCAGGGAGTGGATGTAGGTCGTATTTGACTGAATTATTATAAATCTTTGTGTCATTTTAATTTATACTGCTTACTGCAATTTTAATTCCGTGGTTGAAAAATTTATTCTCAAATAACTTCAATTAACTTGCTACGAATCATTAACTGGTTTCAAATTTTAAAATCCAAGAGAAGTAAATTTTAAAATTATCAATTCACCCCTCTCTTAGTTAGCCTTGAGATATAAGCTTATATTTAACAACCTATTTAATATTCAACAAGAATCAACAAATGATACTACATAACTATATTCAAAGACATGTTTCACGAAATGACCTAGAATTTGAAGAATATAATGTTGATGAAAATTTTGTTCATTTGGAAGCTAGTTGAAGAAAGTACTCTTGAAAGCTAAAGTAGACTTTAATAATATTGAAGGTGTGCACAAAATGGTTGAACTAAGAGAGAGAATTGCATTTGAGTTATGCAATTATAACAGGTAATATGAATATGCAATTTTTTTTATTTTAAATGATTTTATATTTCATATTATACGAGGCCACATGCATCCACATCGATATTGAGTTTAATGTATGAATTTATTCGGCTAGTATATGGCTACTCTTTCCAATTTACAAAGCCTTCATTGTGGTAGAATAACTGTTTATTAAGTTTTGTATTAGGATATTTTATGTAAGAATGATTGGGAATTTATGTTTAGTTGCTTGTTGTTTGATGCTTAGTGCTAATGCCGAACCTCCTACTTCAAAACTCAACCCGGGTTACAAATTAACCTTTTGTTGTCGCAATAAAGCTGATCACGGGTCACTTCATTGAACATTTAACCACCAGCTCATAAAAATGCTACAGTAGTTGTTTTTAAATTCATGGTTGAACTCAAATAAGAAATGCCACATACCATGCTTGATCAGGGAAGCATTTAACACAAAATACTTTTTTATTTCATCTTATAAATACCCTTTTGTAAAAAAATATTTTTTTTGTTTAATTTGTATAGGCATTGCAGGCTTTGAAATTGTTGTAGGCAGTATTAGTTCAATGAGATCAATAATGGAGCCCGACCTAGTTACAGAAGATGGCTTACATGGAGATTATGTTCTTGAAGATCCAGAGTCTCAATATATCTACATCCGCAAGGATGAAGGGATTAAGTGACTCCTATATATTTTGAATCACAATTCTTTTTTAGTTTTGAAATATTGTGCTAATGAAAATTTTTAGTTGATGTTATATTATTCTTTTTTTGTTTGGCGTTTGTTATAAAATGTGCTTGATTTATCTGTGTTTTAAAGAGAAACGATATGAGTGAAATGAAAATACAAATTTACTATTTTTTTCAACTATTGTTTCTGTAACAGAAGCTATTGAATCTAGTAGGAATTCCATTATTGTCTAATTTATTTGATAGGAACCTTAGACGCTTTGGACCTTGCATATATATTATTTAATCTATTTGTGAAATTTGAAGTGTTTGTACTTTGGAGTAATTTTTTCTTGAATTTGTTGACAAGAATAACTTGATTTTAAATGAGTAGCCTCCTCCAGAGTCTAGGTGTCTATTGAAGAACTGTTCCACTTCAATACATATAATGTTTGTTATACATTTCTGTGTGTAATAGGAAAAATATTACGTTAACACTTTAAAATTTCTTTAGTAAAGTAATATTAAATTTTTTTTATTTAAAATAATTCAAACATATTAAATATTAAAAGAAATCTATTCCATCACGGCTTGAAAATTATATTGATCATGCTTTGTGTAAATATTTAATAATGTACTTTTGCAGGACCATCGATTGGAAGTATTTTGACTTAATAAAAAAAATTAATTACATGTACTTCAATTTTAGGAATGGGTAATTAGGTCTTTTCTTAAATAAATAATCGTGAAAGCTAAACGCTTATACAAACATTTTTTTTTATCTATTTCGTACGCTTTACTAAGTACTTAAGAATATTGTGATTCAAACAAAACTCATTATTGAAACAAGAGTTTATTTAGTTTCCTTTTTCTGAACATCTGTTTTTAAAAATCCAGTTTAGATAAGCAACAACTCAATCAAATAAGGCCTAAATATTAGCAAGATTTATTTGTAAACGTGATGATTAGTTTAATTGAGTAGTTATGCCTCCTTTCTTGCCCATGACTTCTTGATTTTAGGCGCCTTACTTCTGGGTAAATGCAATCTTGCATATAGTGGCTTTGGTTCCCTTGTTTTCCTATCAAAGCCTCTCACGCACACAAAGCCTGCAAAATACAAATATCAATTAAAAACCCGTTAAATTTTTTTTTTTTTTTTAAAAGTCAGGTAAACTCTAAGACCGCAATGTGATAGTTATGTATTCAAGAAAATGGATCTAAATTACAAAATAATAAAAAATATATATGCCACGTGTAATGCAATTAGCTTTTAATTATATTAGAATTCAACATTAAAATTAATATCATACCCTCCGCGGGGTGGCCTGGTGGTGGAGAACTGGCTGGCCATAGGCCAGGTACCTAGTTCGAATCCCCTCGGCGCTTCGTGCAAGCCTTAAGTGTTGGCCTGTGTAAATTGGTGTGGGTTGCATGCTAGGTCGACCGGGTTATCCCCTAACCGGGATGATCTGTTTTTTTTTTTTCAAATTAATATCATGAGCATCTTCTACAGCCATGTCCATTGTTTTAGTAAACATAAATAACAAGGAAATTAATTTGAGTCCAATCCTCTTGAGAACGTAGCAATAGAGTATATGGATGAAATAATTCGCCTGAAGAAAAAAAAATTAAGATAATTTTGATGGTTAAACCTGGAGGGATTAGTTTTGATATATCTATACTATATAAAAGTGACTTGGGATTCCATCCATAACCAATTCTGATCGTTCATTTATAAACATAAAAGTATATCTATACCGTTCATTTTAGTTTCCCATTCAGTTCTAATAGCTCAGCATTCTCATTGCCTACCAGTTAAAAATAATTTAACATTTTCACCCTTCCATTTCAATGACAACCTTTCGTTGTCCAATGCTTCCGGCTTCTCCAATTAACTGCATGTATGAAAGTGTCGAATGCACTTCTAATCTTCAACCAAATATTTCTTCTTCACAGCCGATCATTTAATTTTTTTTTTCCGGCATCCGCGAGTTTCTTTCTTTTCACAGCTGAACGATTTTTTTCAGCTTTCCCTCCGAGCGTTTCTTTTTCTTCACAGCTTATTTAAGCTTTCCCGAATGGCGCCTGACATATTAAAAAAAAAACCTTCAAAGCATCGCCACAGCCGAACGCTCGGATTATAAAAGTTTGGTTTCTTTAGCTTTCCCTCAAAACCGAATATAGCTTCTCTCTCGCTCATGCCTATTTCCACTCTTCTCCTTCTCACTGAATGTGTACTTCTTTTCTTTCCCGAACGTTGAGTTGATCAAAATGGAGGAGATGGGCACGTTTGGTTCGACGTAATTCCACAGTTTTCCGGTTTGACACCAACGCAGCCAGTGGATCCGCGCAGCCCGATAAAGATTTCCTCGAGCACGATTGGAAGCGTTAGATCCATCTGTGCCTTCTCATACTTCAGGACGCTCTAGCCGACTAGGGTTATACTGATGCTGAGATTGCTGAGAAGATCGAGGCGAAGAAGGCGCTGGAGGTGGAATTGGCTGCATCTGCTTCTACTACTTCCGTCCGCCCTCCATTAAGCAAGTGGTTTGTTAATATCTCATCTGTTCTTAGGGATTCTATTATTAGATTCTTGAAATTTCCTAATACGCTAATCTTTTTAGCAGTTTGGTTGCAGTAATTACATGGGATTTGAAATGAATTTAAGGAAAATCGATCCAAGTAGACTTTTCTTGAATCCTGTTAGCAAATCCGGCCAATAGCAGGATGTAAGGGATTTGAAGGTGTAGGAATTAAGGATGAGGTAAATCCTGTTACTTGCATTCAAACAGTTGGAGGATTTAACTCTGATTAAAGATATTGAAACCAAAGAACTTTTGGTGATAAGCATGATTTAACTCAAGTATATTTTAGTAAATCTGATACATTTGGATATAGTCAATCTTGCGGCTGTTAAATCCTGTAAACTAATTTTCATGCAACAAATAGATCTGACAAAATCCTCATAAACCGTTTGACTGATATTTTCAGGATTTAAGATTAAAATTAAATTTTAAGGTGATTTGATTTGTGGAGGTTGATTGATGTGTAATTTAGAAGTTAATATTTTAAACTAAGATAATTAGAAAATAAAGAAGGGTTTACTTAATTCCTTTAATGGTTGGCTAAATTTTTTTTTAAACTGATTAATCATATTGTTGATTATATATTCTTAAAGTTAACTAGGATATATTTAGATCTAATTAGAATGAAATGAAGAATAGAAGGTAAAGTTGATGGCCTGTGAGGATCTATGCCATCAGAGTTGACAGCAGGCTAGAAAGAGAAGAAACTGTAGATGACATGCTTAAAGATTTACTAAATGCTACTTCTTGTAAGATTTACTAAATCCTAAATTTGACGCATAACAGAGAGAAAATAGGATTTTAAGAACTATAAACATGTTTGGCAAGATTGGCCAAATTTTGGTTAAATCTTGCAACCAAACAACCCCTTAAGGCTTACAAAATCCTGGTATAAGATATACGAAATTATACTTAAATCAGTCATGCTTCTAAACAACCCTAAATTAAATTTAGAGTATTAGATAATGTTATATGTCAGATTTTGCTTGAATGCCTGCTATCTAAGCATATTCTACTGCTCATTGTGATGACATGAGTGCATGATAGATTATTGATATCCTTTCACATCAGTGACAAAATCGACTCTGTTAGTTTTAATGCTGCACCTTACAATAATTTCAATTTGAACTGGCGCTCTCGTTTTGGTAGGTTGGAACTGAAGTCACATAATCTTTTATGAACTATTTTGATTTCAGTTAATTCAATTTCAGCAACTCAATATAAAATTGATGGATGGGATTAGTAATTGCATTAGTTCACTAATAAGGGTAATTGGGAAGGATCTTTATTACATTAAGTATGGTATTGATTGACTTGGAAGCTCTTCCACTGTTTTGAAGTTGTGATGCTTGAGAATTTAAGATTAGAAAGCTTGGTATCTATTCATTCATTATTTCTTTTCAATTATGTTTTAACATGTTTTCTCAACACAGACACATCAAATTGCTGCCCATAAAGAGAATAGATGGAAACTATGAGCAGTCTTGAAAATTGGGGAAGACAAGAAAGAGAACAAGAAACAGGGTAAAAACTACATTGAGCTTATCACCCCCATAATGCATAAACACAAGATGGAAAGGGATGATAACTTATATAGTGGATTTCAGTATTTTGATAATGATGATAGTGGATGAGTCTGCTGCTAACAATCTTCTGCAATGCATGGATTCTAATAAAATATTCATATCTAAGTCAAAGTCTCATGCTGATAAATTTCTCTTATAACACAAATTAAAGATAATTATACATTAAATTTTTTTGAGAACAACTATAGTTGACTTCCTGAGTGGTGCAACAAAGAAGACATTTACGCTTTCTTTATGTCAGATTAAAGGAAGATATAGTCTGGAGCTACTTGGATACAATACTATGCTGCCATATCCTCACATGATCTTTCATGTGGAGGCACAAATATTAGCAGATAAAACCATCAATGCTCACATGAAGTAAATTAAGCAACCTTCCGGAAAGGGCAAAAATGGTACTATAATGGATAATTCATTCTCCCAGCAAAAAAAATAAGGGAAGAATAGTCTTCCTCCTAGACCTACATTGTCATGGTGCGGGTTTCGAGAAGAGGAAGAGTATACACCACTCAACGCATCTCAAACTAATGTACTGATGGATATTCGAGATCACAAAAATATTAAGAGGAAGAGTATACACCACTCACCGCTCAAGAATGAAATTAAGAGACTTATCCGTCAAGGGCGGAACTATAGTGAGCTTAGGGGGGACAATTGCCCCCCCCTAAAAATATAGATATATAATATTATTTTTTAAATATTTAATTATTTTTGTGCTGTATTTTTGCCCCCCCTCAAAATTAAAGTCGGTTCCGCCCCTTTTATTCGTTATGACTACCTTAGACATTTTTATTGGTTGTAGATGAAAAGCCAACACCAAAGAAGTCTTGTATTGATCATTCTATTACTTTTGATCATTCTGATTTAGAGGGAGTAAAAACCCCTCATCAAGATCCACTCATAAATAATGCGGGGATAGGAGACCCGTGTTACAATGTTAAAAGAATTTTGGTGGACAATGGAAGCTCTGTGAGTGTCTTATTCTAGTATACGTTTTTCAATATGGGTGTCACTAGAGAAAACCTTCGACCCGTCGCAAGACTGCTATATGAATTTGATAATCAACCCGTACGAGTAGAAGGGACAATTAGTCTCCCAACTATACTAGGAGAATTTCGTCAACAAGCTACTCACATAATCCAATTTATTATTGTGAAATTAGACTCAGCTTATAATGCTATTTTTGGAAGACCCCTCTAGTCAATCTTTGGAGTTGTCGCTTCTACTCCACAGCTTCTACTCCACACCTCAAACTAAAAATTTTCACTCCTACTTGGATCGGTATGGTGAGAGGAGATCAAGAAGCGATGCAATCATGCTATCTTAAGTAGGCTCAACCACGCCCATCAATTACCTTAAGCACTGATGATTTAGATCTTCAAAACGAAGATATCCCTCAGAATGCTCTCAGGTGGAAGAATTAACTTTTATATCCATATGAGAAGAGCGCACTTAAATGACTAATAAAAAAGGCCATTTTTAATATTTTCTAATTAAGTCTTTTTAGGTCTATCTCTACCTTTCTTAAAATAAGTCAATTATAATATATATACTCTTTTAATCAGGTCATCGAAAGGCCAACATTTTATGTGACCAAACTATCTAAGATGACTCTCTTTAATCTTATCTACCACTGGAGCAACTCCAAACCTTTCACGTATATGCTCATTTTGTATTCTATCTCTAATAGTAAAGCCCCTCATTCACCTAAGCATCCTCATCTTTGCAACACTTACTTAATTTTGTGCTTCTCTTTTAATGGCCAACATTATGCTTCATAAAGCATTACATATTTCGTCACCATCTTATAGATTTTTCTTAAATCGTTTAGATTGCAAAATTGTAAAGTATTGCCAGTAAAATTTTATATACTTAACATCACTGATTAGTTTTGGATTAAAATGAAGGGGTAGAAAAAAAAAAAGTAAAACGTTGTTCTAGGATTAAATGGAGCATTTACAAAATATTAGCAAAAATATTTTTAAGAGTAAGATACTAAATTTTAAGATTTTATCTTTGTATGAGAAAATCAATATTATATGGGAAAAAGTAGCTAGTTATATTAAAAATATTACAAATGATGTGCTTAAAGTATCAAAAGGAAAAACTCCCAATAGTTAAAATAATTGATAATTGAATCAAAATGTATAAGAAAAGTGAAATAATAAAAAATTTTATTATAAAAATTAGTTTTGATGTAAAATTTTTGATAATTGTGATAGATATAAAGAGGCCCATAAGGAGTTTAAGAAAATAATATGATGCAAAAATTTTAACTTAGCATAATTGAGTATTAAAAATATTTTAGCCAGTGTTGCATACCTCTTGAGAAGCAGTACTGAATAGGTTCTGTGGCCATGAAACCTATCGTTAAGAGATTCAATGTTAGCAATGAATACGATTGAGGATTTACATTCTCTAAACATAAGACTCATTACTGAAAAACCTCTAAATATTGCTGCTATTGAAGTTCCAAAGTATACGGTCCTTCTTGGAAGATTCCATAGCAAACTCCGAGGAACATGAATGGGGGTGCGACTAGATTCATGATCTGCAAAAACCTACAGGGAAAGCATTTTATACAGAACAATAAAGTGACTGAGGTCCATTGACGTGGAAAATGGCCACAATTCAGTATGTTCTCATCTTCATTCATTACTTACCTCATTAATTTGAAAATAAGTGCCATTAAGTGGAAATCTTCCTCTCATTGCAGTTCGACATGGTATCTGCTCAAAATTAATTTCCATTGAGTAATAAAAGTAGTTCACAGGAGAGCAGGAGATCGACCAATAAGACAAGCTTATAGAATATCAATGCAAAAAAAGCCAAAAGAAAAGTGGCCGGAAAAAAAATGTTAATGAATACCTAATTAAAAGTTAAAACCACATATAGCATATTTTAAACAAGACAAGAAGGAAAAAAAGAATTCTTAAGGTTAACCCATCATAATTAAGGATAAGGCTAATGATGATGATGATCCATACATTATCACAATAAGATTACATCTCTAAGCACTATTTAACATGTCCCCCTACATATATGAACAGCAAATTACCAATACAAACTGGGAATGAATATATCTTGCTGATTCAAGACATCAACAATTCTTGATTTAATTGTCAGACAAATTTACCGAGGTACGCATTCATCAATAGGAGAATTGGGAGATGTAATGGGAAATTGACAAATAGGGCTTCAATTTCAATCTCATTATCAGTTAATTCTAACCGACAGTACCCAGCAATAATCTACAGATAAAATTTTCAAGATAAATAGCAATTTTGGCTAGCATCAAATAAGTCATTTACATTTCAGCATATATCTTCACCCTAACTGCCTACAATATTTCTTGATTTTTAGCATTCCTCTTAAAAATCGTGTATCCCAAAATGTATCACAAAAAGATCAATCAAATATCACACTCTCAAAAAGTTAATTCACATGTAAATTACATATAGATGCACATATCAGTTGGTACCATAAGTCTTCAATTTCAACCTCATTATCACTTAATTCTAACCGCCTGTGCCCCGCAATCATCTACAGATTAATAAATCAGCAATAATTGTCTAGCTAAATAGCAACTTCCAAAGGCATTGCTTGGTCCTACAAAGTTATGAATAGAATCAAATAAAACACTTTATTCCAGCAATTCTCTTGATCCCTTGCACCTACAATATTTCTTGATTTTTAGTATGCCTTTTAAAATTCATAAAGGTCAAACTTTTCTTGTTCCTCTAACAGATCAATCCAAGATCACACAGCTAAAAAATTAATTTGCACACAAATTAAATAGAACTACACATATTAATAGTTACCAGAAGCGTTCCTCTGACAGTTTGAGCCTCTAATTCTCTTCTGCTATTACAAGCAAAGCATGTCTCTCTCTCGCAGCTACTGGCCTCCTGTGTTTTATAGCATGATTCTGGTGGCTCTATTGACTCTGCAGTTTCACCTGGTATTTTACATCAGAGGAAAAACAATCAAGTAAGATCAATCACTAAAAAAAATCTAAATCGGTACTTTTACATCCTTCTTTTCCTGACCTGGAGTCCATATGGCAAGGAGATATGGGGATGGATCATCAGGCTCTCTTGGATGCATCTGGAGACATAAAATGTATGTATAAAATAAGATATTGTACAATTATGATTTAATTTTATTGGCATGTAATATTATATGGCAAGAGAAGAGGATGGGCTTTGATGCAACGGTTAGGATGATAAACTCATGGTTCAAATCACAAATAAAGCCTCTTAGTGAAAACATAAGGCTCATGACATCAACCCAGCATTAGACCTGTAGTTGGCAGAACCCTTTTATCCATTTATTTTAAACAGAAATACACATAGCATACCTCCTTAAGAAGAAGATGTGAATCTGGAAGCTCATATCTGAGGGGCATGGTGGCGGGAGTGGGGAATGCAACAAAGTTAAAATAAGAGAGTTGTTAGGTAAGTAAACAGTTTTGATTTTCTAATAAAAAATTAAAATAGTTATGCATATAAAGATACCTACACATGATGCTCAGTGCGAAGGTAACTTATATACTTTAACTTGCGGATTGGCATAGAAGCAACCTCTGCACTTAACTCAACTAATGCTTTTGATATATCATTATCTGGAATCTTCAAATCATTTTCTTGCATAAGATTCTGTAAATTTTGTCCAAACTGCTCCAGATTGAGCTTTATTGTAGGAATTTCATCATCTTCATAGAATGCATCTTCTATGTCTTTGTCTAATATCTGTAAGGCTTCCCGAGGTGGTGAAGGTGGCTCCTCTATGATAGGAGATAGTGCATTCTCGATGACAGGATAAAAATTATCATGAAATACTCCGGATACATCGTCTTTGCGGTATGGAAGCTGTGGTATTGTATTAAAAGAACTGCGGCCACTCATAGGAGTACCAGGAAATGACGAGGTTTTAAATTGTTTGTCCTCTGGTGCTGGAAGTGCAAGCTTTGCACTGCATTAATGACAGGTGCATCATTAGCAGACGAAAGTTTTCTCTCTCACATCTTCCACCTCCACTACGTCATGTCTATCTATCACACAGATTCTCTCTCATCAAGCAAAGGAAATTGAAAGATCAGTAACAAACATGCATACAAAAACTATCCACAACCTAGGCAATGCAGCACACAACTTCAATTCAAATTATAGTTGACAAATTGAATAAAGAAACAGTTCAATTAGATCCATTTGATGATACCTCCATTTATCATCAACGCAATGTTCGTACTCATTTTTGCTAGAAACAAAGAGGAAGGAATGAAGAAATAAAATAGAAAAACCTTCCTAAGCTACTACGAAACAAGGCCATGCAAATTCAAGCAGTTTCAATTAGAATGTTACTCCACGTGGAAAGCACTGTAACTCAAAATTCACGGATGTCCCTTAACCGCAAAGGTAATAGAAAACTCTAGAAATAATATCATCCTTGAAAAGTTGCATTTTGCATTCATATAAACAAAAAGGTACAACAAGATGTGTACAATTCTACACTATCCTCCACCAAAATAAACAAAATTAGGAGTACACTAACCGGGTCAGCGCAAGGCCGCCGTTTTATGTGACCAAACCGATTGGGGCATATAAACAACATTAACAAAAAATATTTTTGAGAGAAAGATACTAGATCTTAAGATTTTGACTGTGCATGAGGAAGCTAATGTTATGTGAGAAAAGATAGCTAGTGATATTAAGAATGTTGCAAAATATAAGCTTGGAGTATCAAAGGAAAAAGCTCATAATAGTAAAAATAATTTGTGGTGGAATAAAAATGTACAGGAAAAGATAAAAAATAAGAAAATTTGTTATAAAAATTGGTTTAAACAAAAATTCTGATAATTGTAAAATATATAAAGAGGCTCATAAGGAGTCTAAGAATGTAATAAGTGATACAAAGATTTTAGCTTTTAATGATTGATAGAATAGATTATATATTAAGGAGGACAAAAGATATATATATATATATAAGTTAGCCAAAAAAAGATATAAGAGTATTAAGGATTTAATTCAAGTAAAGTATGTTAATGATGAATATCAAAAAGTGATTTTATAAGAAGAGGATATTCAATAAAGATGGATGAGATATTTTTGTAAATTTTTTTATGAAAATTCTGAGAATGCGATTGACTTTAGTGATCTTAGCATCTTAAATGAAAATAAAGAAATTTTTTATTGGCGTATTAATAAAACAGAAATTAGAGATGCTTTAAAGAAAATGAAGTGTATAAAAGCAGTTAAACCTGATGATATTCAAATAGAGGTGTGGAAATGCTTAGCATAAGAAGGAATTTCTTGGCTTACTAAACTTTTTAATATTATTTTAAAGACTAAAAAGATGTCAGATGAGTAGAGAATAAGTGTGTTGATTCATATTTTTAATGATAAAGGTGATGCACAAGATTGTGCAAATTATAGAGGAATAAAGTTAATATAAGTTTATATGTCATATTTTAAAACAATGGGAGAGTGTTACGGAGCATATGTTGCGGCATGATACCAATGTTTCTCAAAATCAATATGGATTCATGCCGGGTAGGTTTAATATAAAAGCTATACATTTATTGAGTGGTTTGATGGAGAAGCATAAAGAGAATAAGAAGGATCTACATATGACATTTATTGATTTATAGAAAGCATATGATAAAGTTAAATGTTATGGAGAGTTCTAAAAAAGAAAGGGATTAATAATGCTTATATCCAAGTCACTAAGGATATGTATGTAGGAGTTGTTACTTGTGTTCAAACACAAGGTGGTTTGACCAAGTATTTTTCTATTTCAGCTGGATTACATCAAGGATCAGTCTTAAGCCCATATATTTTTGCTTTAGTCATGGATGTTCTCACTAGACATTTATAAGAGGCTATACCCTAGTGTATACTTTTTGCTGATGATATTTTTCTTGTTGATAAGACTAGAGAGGGAGTTGAAGGTAAACTTGAATTATGTAGATCAACCTTAGAGTCTAAAGGCTTTTTCTTGAGTAGATCTAAAACTGAATAGGTGGAATGTAATTTAGAAATAATATATCTAGTGGGGAGATTGTGACTTTGAGCGGTCAACTCATTAATAAGAGCACACATTTTCGATATCTTGGGACTTGGATCTATTATTCGGAGTGATGGTGAAATAAATGGGGATATTATTAGTAAAATTCAAGTTGGACTATTGAAGTGGATGAATGCATTGGGCTTGTTGTGTGATAGAAAAGTCCCCCTTAAACTTGAGAAAAAAAATTATAAGATGGTGGTTAGACCTGCAATGTTTTATGGTACAAAATGTTAAGTTAAGTGTTGCAGAAATGAAGTTTCTCAAGTGGATGAGTGATTTTACTCTTAGAGATAGGATACGAAATGAGCATATACGTGAAAAGGTTGGAGTAGCTCCAATGGAAGATAAGATTAGAGAGAGTCACCTTAGATGGTTTGGTCACATAAAACGGTGGCCTTCTAATGACGCACTTAGGAGAGTAGACGTATTAGATTTGACTTATGTTAAGAAAGGTGGAGGTAGAACCAAAAAGACTTAGTTAGAAAATATTAGAAATGACCTTTCTTTATTAGATTTAAATGAGAATTTAACTCTTGAGATGACACAATGAAGAAAAAGGAGTCATGTAGCTAACCCCACATATTGGGATAAAGGCTTGATATTATTGTTGTATTAAATTTCTACCTATAACACATCATGCACAAAAGTGAGCAATCTATTACAATCTCTATGTACAAAATGAAAGAAAACGTGTTTGAATTGATTGAGAAAACAAATAATGTAATTCAAACATATATTTCTCCAATCAAGATTTTATTGCTGAAGTATGAATTCAATAAACGAAGCATACATCTTTATATAGCATAATAATAAATTTCAAGTTACTTGTAGATTTGTCAACAAATTCTGTATGTGCTGAAATCGTACCAATGCCTTTTTTGACATTAAGAAGAATATGTTGAAAGGGACATGTTTAAATTAGAAGGTTAAAATGATTGTAATTTTTTGGGGGACTGATATGGTATATGATGTGTGTGTTGGCTTAAAAAAAACGAAGCGTCGGCATGCATCCAACTTCGCAAACATAGAATTTCATTCCTCTTAAGTTAGATTTCATCTGAGAAAGTGTCAGGGTTTTGTTAGATCTAGGTCCGTACTTCATATGAGTGCAAGCACTCATAGTAAATTACCCCTCTTAATGCATAAGAGAAAATTCTCAATTAAGGATAAATAATTTTTAGGTATTTTAGTCTCAGTTGTGGGGAAAATGAAGGTAAACCCAATCAAGATCCTATGGTTCAGTCGTCATGGGTATATCAAAGGTTTCAGTCAATCAATACTACCAATCGTTGACCGTAGTGTCCAGAAAATTTGATTAACAAACATGGGTCTCCTCCTCTAAGAGATCTAAAGTAAACTGAAGTGGTTACATGTAAGCTTTAATTTTATTGAATTTTGATGTTTATATCTATTAGAATACTCATAAGGTAATTTACTTTGGGATTTATAACTTCATTTAAAAGTTAACTAGAAGTTTGAATTAAAGCGCGTCTTACGGCCTCTCCTAAAAAAAGCCCGAGTGTTTGAATTTGGGTCAAGACTTACAACTTTCATTGAAAGTAGCCCATAAAGCGGGTCATACAGCTTCTATTAGATCTAGCCTACCGATGGGTCTTACAACTTTAGCTCTATAAGCTAACATGCCCAAAGGTTTAGTTTTTTAAGGTAGATCTTACAAATACATTTAGAAGTTTAGATTTAGAAGTTGTTTATTCAATTTGTTTATTTGGGTTTTAGTTTTTTGCACTTTGTTTTACAAATTCTCTAACATATGGGTCTTACAACTTCACTTAGGAGTTGCCCATTAGTGGGTCTTACGGCTTTTATTAGAAGCAACCTACCGGTGGGTCCTACAACATAGCCCTATAAGCTAAGATGTTTGTTTGTTTTATTTATTTAGGTCTTACAACTTCCCTTAGAAAGTAGCCTGTTGATGGGTCTTACAATCTAACTCTATAGCAAGGCTGCTCGTTGGTTTGATTTTAGATAGGTCTTATGGCTTCTGCATTTAGAAGTACCCTAAAAGTTTTAGGATAGATTAGATCGAACTCGTAGGTACTATAGTAGTAGTTGTTTACTAGCTTGACACTAGACTTTTAGCTTTCATTGATTTACTAGGCCGACACTAGAGCTTTTACTACTGGTTTTTTCTTTCTGCTTTAGTAGTTCAGTACGTTACCCAGCTTTTCTATTCATGCACTTTATTTTTCAGTACCTAGATTTTCTTTCTTGCACTAGTACCTTATTCTTTTTCTTTCAGTACTATAGTTTAATTTTCAATACCTTGTTCTTTTTCTTTCAGTATCGTAGTTTACTACTTGTTCTTTTTCTTCTTTTAGTATTTATTTTGGTATTAGTCCATTTTGCTTGCTTTCTTGAAGGAATGCATGCTACCTTGGAGTTCGCACAGAAGCATTGGAGATCTAGCACAAAGAGCTATTTTTGGAGAATTTGGAGAGTTTGTTTGAGAGGTTTGAGTGTCAGTTTGTTGAGAGCAGTTGTTGATTGTACAAAAATTTTTTTGATGTTGAATTGTACATCCTTAGTGTAAACACTATTTTTTTGCATTTACTTTTATAATTGCTTCATTAATTAATTAACTAATTAATCAAAAATAAATTTTCTAATTAATTGCATTAATTAATTAACTAATAATAAATTTGATTGCTTTCTTTTAATTAATTGATATGCTCCTAGAGTTTAAACTTCTCTCAAATTTTAAATGTTCTTGGATTTTAAATACTCTTGAAATTTTAAACTAACCAACTAATAAATTTTAATTAATTTCAATTAAGTAATTTCAGCTGATCAATTAATTTTGATTAATTAATTAAAATTAATAAAATAATTTCAATCTTTAAATTTAATCAATTGGTTAATTGAATTACTCAATTAAAATTTAAACC